AATGCTATTCATTTAAGTTCTTTGAAAATTGGTGTTGGGACAGTGATCTATACTCAGTTTGAATTGAGGGTTTGTCGGAGTTACAACAGGCTTTAAATTCAACATACCATACTTTTCGAGAATCTTCCGTAGGTATGCCTCTTGAGATAAGCATAATCTCAACTGCTTTCTATCTCTTAGGATGTCAATTTCAAGAATCCTGGACGCAGCTCCCAGATCCTTCATGTCGAACTTCTTATTGAGTTCAACCTTCACCCTCATTGCCTCTTCAACATTGTTGATTGCTATTAGAATATCATCCACATAGAGAAACAAAATAACAAATGAATTACCCTGTCGAAATCTAAAGTAAACACAGTGGTCGAACTGACTTCTGATGAAAATTATGCGTGCCATGAACTTGTCGAATCTCCTATTCCATTATCGAGGAGATTGTTTCAGTCCATATAAGGATTTATTCAGCTTGCACACATAATCTTCCTTACCTTTTTCGACATACCCTTCAGGTTGCCTCATCAGGATTGTTTCATCTAAGTCACCATACAAGAACACAGTCTTCACATCCATCTGTTCTAGTTTAAGGTCGAACTGTGCCACTGTGGCAAGTAACATTTGGATGGATTTGTACTTCACAATAGGAGAGAACACATCATTGGAGTCGATACCTTCTTTCTGGGTGAACCCCCTAGCAACCAATCTTGCCTTGTATCTCTTCGACGCCACTCCTTCGATTCCTTCCTTAACTTTGAAAATCCATTTACAATTGACTAACCTGGCTCCAGCAGGTTTCTTAATCAGTTCCCAAGTGTTGTTATCATGAAGAGATTTTATCTCATCATCCATGGCCTTCATTCATTTAGTTTTCTTTTAACTCCTCATAATTTCCTTATAGTCTCTAGGTTCTTCGTCTACAACCTCACTTGTAGAGATTAAGGCATAAGCTATAAAATCTGCATACCCCAGTCTCTGAGGTGGCCTGATGACTCTCCTCGACCTGTCTCTTGCTAGCAGGTAGTCATTATCAGCCTCCTCATCTTCGACAACATCTTATGTGTCTTCTTCGACTTCATATAGGGTACGCAATTCAGCATCAACATGCTCCACCTTAACAGGAATCTCTCCCTGTTGCAGCTCTTCGTCAGCATTATCAGTTCTCGTGAAAGTCATCTCTGCTTCATTGAAAGTTACATCTTGACTGGTGATGCACCTCCTGTGACCTGGCTCTAGGAACCATAGCCTATAAGCTTTGACTCCTTCAGGGTATCCCATGAACATGCATTTCAGAGCTCTAGGTTCGACCTTGTCTTGCCTAATATGAGCATAGGCCATACAGCCAAATACTTTCAGTCTGTTGAGACTAGGTTGATGTCCCGACCAAACTTCTTCAGGTGTATTCATTCCCAAGGCAGTCGAGAGACATCTATTTATTAGGTAAGCTGCTGTCGAAACAACTTCCGCCCAAAACACCTTCTTTAATCCAGCATTAACCAACATGCATCTAACCCTTTCGATTGTTCGATTGAATCTCTCAGCTAAGCCATTTTGTTGAGGAGTACTTGCTACAGTCTCATGCCTTGCAATCCCAGACTCAACATAGTAATTGTCGAATGCTTTGTTGTAGAATTCAAGGCCATTGTCGATTCTCAACCTCTTGACCTTTCTACCAGTTTGAGTTTCGACTAGAATCTTCCAACTTTTGAAATTCTCAAAAGTTTCATCCTTCGTCTTCTGAATGAATACCCATAGCTTTCTAGAATAGTCATCAATAATGGATAGAAAATACCTTGCACCTGAGTGTGAAGGATTCCTTGCAGGCCCCCAAAGATCAGCATGAATGTAATCTAGGGATCCATGTGTTCTTTGCTTGCCTTTGTTAATCTTCGCCCTACAGGATTTACCAAATACACAAGATTCACAAAATTCCAACTTTTCGACTTTGTCATCTCCTAACAGGTTCTGCTTCCCCAATTCGACCAGGCCTCTTTCGCTGACATGGCCCAATCTCATGTGCCATGATTCTGTTTTCGACACAGGTTTCATAGATGTAACATTTGTCAAACCACTTACAATCTCAGCCTCAAGGGTATACAAGCCTTGTTTCTTCACGCCTCTCAAGACTTCCTTCGACCCCTTCATGACTCTTAGGATACTCTTCTTTCCTTGGAAAACATATCCCTTTCTGTTGAATTCACCCAGAGAAATCAAATTTCTCTTCAAGTCAGGTACATACCTGACTTCAGTCAATAACCTTATTGACTCATCATTGAGCTTGAATTCACAGATCCAATACCTGCAATTTTGCAAGATTTATTGTTTCTCAGCAGCACAGATCCTCCATCTTGATCACATAGTTCCTCAAACAATTCTCTGTTTGGAGTCATGTGCCAAGTGCAACCTGAATCCATAATCCACTCTTTTCTCGAGTCGCCACTTGAAACCACAAGAACGTCAGATGAGTCGAAGTCATCTTGAACAATGGTTGCGTTGCCATTACCTCCATGATATTTCAGGCATTCAGGGAACACCTTTCTTGTGTGACTCTCCTTCTTACAGTGATAACATCGAATACCAGATGTTTCGTCACTATAATATTTCTATTGACTTTTACCTTTCTTCTTGTCGAACTTACAATCCTTTCGCGAGAATTTTCCCTTAACGACCAAACCTTCGCCCACCGTCGAAGGTTTATGCTCCTTTTATTCGTTCAAGTCCTTAGAATACAAGGCTAATTGAACTTCTTCAAAGGTCAGGGACTCCCTTCCATACAAGATTGTTTCTTTGAAGTGAGCATGTGTTCTAGGCAAAGCACACAACAACAACAGTGCTTGATCTTCATCATCGATCTTCACATCAATATTTTCAAGATCAAGAATCAGCTTGTTGAACATATCCAACTGTTCAGCCAACACTTTATCTTCACTCATCTTTAATGAATACAAAGCTTGCTTCAGGTAGAGTCGATTCACCAGAGATTGGTCATGTACAAACTTTTAAGTTTCGCCCATAATTCCGATGTTGTAGTCTGCTTTGATACCTGTCGAAGAACCTTATCACTAAGGCTCAACAATATTGTGCTGTAAGCTTTCTCGATCATGCCCGTCTTTTCTTTTGCCATTAATGCAGCATTCATGACTGCCCCTCCCTTCAATGCTTCCAAACAACCCTGCTGAACCAGTAGAGTTTCATCTTCAAGCGCCACAGACCGAAATCGTTCACTCCGGTGAACTTTTCGATCTCATACTTTGTTGAAGGCATCTGTTCCACGCTCACCGCACCAATTTATTGTGAATCAGACGTCTTTTAATAAAGTATAAAACGGTTTCTTAATGATCAAGAAACACACAAGGGTTAGTGTTAACAAATAAGACAAGGTAAAACAACAAGGAACAACAAGAATTAGTTATAAACTGTTATTCTTTCCTTTCTCTTAAAACAAGATTACAAATATACAAGAATAACAAAATAATCTCTCTCACTTGAAATTAGGATTTTATCTTCACATTTTTCCTTATATCAAGATTGAGAAACTAGCATCCTATTTATAAGAAAAATAGCACACTAGCCTAATGGGCTTTTTAACAATTATCCATTACAATCTAACTTAGGGTACAAGCTAACTTAAACACTTGGAATTACAAGCAAGACCTAATCCAATATGCTAACAACCTATCAATATTGACTAATGCATGTTAGAACAAACTTCGACTACAACACGCATTATCTTCGACAGCGGCATGCAAACAGACTTCGACCTCATGCTTAACTCTTGTCGAACCAGAAGCTACTATTCAACCATACTAGAGTTCGATCCAACATCTCACAGTAAAAAATAACTATCTATTTTGTTTACATACTAGACTATTTATTTTGTTTATTTATTTACTATATTTCAATATAGCTAAATCTTATTTGAGACATTTTTTATTTATAATTTATTAAAGAATTATAAATAAAAGTAATATAGGAATTACAAAAATAATGACTTGAATTTTATTCATATGGTGGGAGATCTTATTTTAAATGTGACAATCAACAATGCTAATATTTTTTTGTATAAATAATATTTAAATTATATAGTTATCAACATATATTTAATTTAATATGACATTAATTTACATTTATATCTACTTTAATATATTGCATTCATATAAATGCATTCCTTTACAATTTTATATAATAAAAAATTAAATTGACCAATTCATTTCAAATTTATATCTAAATCTAAATATATTTTATATGTATTAAATAAATTTACCCATAGGGATGCACAAATATCTTATTAGTTTTATAAAAAAATTGATATTTTATCAAGAAAGTTAAATTTTGACGTATCATATATTTTTAAATATATAAATAAAATATTAATTATAAGATACTATTCTTACATTTCTTTATTTTTATTTGAGTAATTATTAAAATAATATAAAAAAATTCAACAATTAGATTGGTGAAATTTAATTTTTACATAAAATATTATTAATTGAAACAACTCAAACAAAACTTGTTTTTGAAGCAAATTGATCCCTACTGTAAATATCTATTTGTCAAGTTACAAGCTTTACTCAATTTACAGTTTATATTTTTACATTAGTTTCTTCCATATAATAAAATTTATTTATTTATTGATTCAATGGATTATATTTTTTTTACTACATTTTAAATCTTTTATTAAATCTAGCAAGTGACGTGAAAAATCATAAGCCAGAGTAGAAAGGATAAAGTTTTAAATAACATAAGAATATTATTGCATGATTTCGTCAAAGATTGAAAGGGCAAGTAAATAAGATAGTTATGAAATGCACGAGCATTACTTCCATCTTCAAAAAAGTGAATGCAAAGTCACATTTCTGTCTCAACAAGTTCATTTTGCCAGCAACAATGCCTTGCTAGCTAGCAATGAGTTGGTCATATCCAAATCTACTTCTCCTCCTCATGACCCTATTTAACACCTCTTTCAATCCAAGCAAAACCCACACACACACACTACAATAGCAACCAAAATGTCCATAATTGTACTCTTCAAGCTTATGCTTCTTCTCCTCCTACTTTTGAACCCTCCTTCCAATACTACCAAAGGGTGTAATTATGGACCCTTTTGTGTGGATGCTGCAAGACCTTTGGAACAAAATGTTAATCCAAAATATATAAACTTGAAGCCTGAGAAAGGAAATGGAGGAGGAAGGGTTTTTCAAGGGAGGAACGTGGAGGATTGTTTGCCTAAAGGGTTTCGACGATCTTCTGCTCCGAGTAGATATATTAATTATCAGCCTCTTGGAATCTCTTGTTCTTCAAGCAAGACAGTAGTGAATGGCCCTTGATCTTAAGGTGTGAACATGATATGATATGATATTCAGAGAATATACAAATTAAGCTTTGTTGAATTGATGTACGTATAATCGTACTTAATATTTGTATTTGTGTATACTGGATTGTACACTATATAGTCTGCTATGTGTTTGAAGGATACTAGAGTGATAAGTACAATATAGTTTTACTTATGTAATGTAATAGAAAATCAAGTAATCTATGTTATGATTATGTATACTTTTTTCTTTGAATGTTTTCCTCCGTTTCATTATCTCAATCTTCGGCCCGTAAAATATCTTTCATGTATAATAATAGTGACTTGATTTAGTTAGACATTAATATCACATCTGCGAGCCGGCCAACTGGGACCCGAAGGCGGGAGCAAAATAAATCTTTTTCTTCTTTGAGATTTCGATTTCTCCTCATTAGGTGGGGCAAAATGGGTTAAGGCATGTGGTGATTCTAGTAAAGAGGGTTGTGTTATGTGTTGGATACGTTGAGTCGGCTGATTATCTTTTTGTTATTTGTGAGATGACTTTAACTATCTAATAAAGAGTTTTTAGGTGGATGGGGTGGCGTGAGTCTCTTTCGCATTCAATTTTAGAGGTGATTAAGTTGTTTTAGGGTTTAGGTCAAAGAAAATAGGTGTGTTTTTAGGCCTGGTCTCAATCTGTCATTATGTGATTTAGATTATTTGAAAAATGTAAAATGAAGTTATTTTTTTCTTCAGAAAGTTTGACGGTTAATCATTGAATGTCCTCGAGTATTAGTTCGGTGTATAAGTGGATTTATGCCCATGCTCTGAGTTTTGTCGTTTCTTTGATAGACTGGGAGCGAGACTCGCTTAAGTGGCTAGGTGTTTAGGAATGCGCTCGAAGGCCAGTTGCCCTCCTTTTGTTTTGTGTAGGTGGTTGTGCCTACTTTCTCCAACTTGCTCTATCTAGAGGTCGGATGCGTCTATATCTTAAGGCTAGATCGGTTGGCTAGATGACTTGCTCTATGTTTCTTTCTTTTTTTGTTGATTTGTTGTTTCGCTCTATTACGTGCTTTCTTGGCCTAAACTTTGTTGATTTTTGTTGTCCTTGCGCAATTCCGGTGCTCTATGTTTCTTTTGTAATTTTTTTAAACATTTGCTTCTTTTTCATTTTAATATCCTAAGTCTTGAATTTTGAAAGTTTTGTCTATTGACCTCACAAGGACCTTTGTTAGTGAAACTCATTAGAAAAAGAATCCAAACTTTCTCTCTTAATTTTTTTTACAGACTTCTTATGGGTTTTATGAAAAGATAAATGGTTACAAATTAAGGACGGTTCTTGGAGAACATGAGAACCTGATAACACACTTTTAGTGCATCATTATGATCCATTTTCAAATAGGTTTTAGTTTAAGTTTAATGTTTGTTTAATTAATTTTACTAGTTTTAGGTTATTTTGTTTTAAGCACGCTAGGTGCTTCCCTTTGTAGTTTTTATGTGTGTTGTTGTTTTGAAAGACAGTTTTAAGGCAAACTGAGGCGTGATTGGCCAAGACAGAGTCTGGAATGTGAACGTTTGAATAATTTAAAGTTGCTAAGGATCACAATCAGCAATCCACCAAAAGCATTGAGGGAATTCATTGTTAGGGCATATGTTGCAGGAATATTCTTGGAAGAATTGAAGAGGTAAAAACATAAGATCAATTATGCATAGGGACAAAACGCATAGTACGGTGGGGACCACTGCAAAAGCGCGCTCTACACCAGTCATCTGCCGCCTGCACCTTTGCGCCATTATCTGCTACAACAGCCTGCAGCAAACACCTTGTATTCCATTGTTGTCTGTACTGAAAACTTGTTCGCTAAGGATGAAGGACAGCTGGAAAATTTGTTGATTTGATTTGGGCTAAAACCTCATTTGAATCAAAGGCCCAAGATCCAAAGCCCACCAACTTTCATATCCAAACTCAAGTCTATAAAAGCCGACCTTAAGCTTTGGAAGCAGGGAGTTAGAGAACTCACACAAGCAAAATTATCTTAAGTAGTTGTTTATTTTCTTTTGAGGGTGAGTGAGAAATATAGAGTGTTCTTCTTCTCATCCAATCTTGTACTCATTGCTGAGGGTTAGCGTGACTGAAGATATCAGTTGATGTTTATCCAACGCAAAGGAACTCCAAGTTACTATTAGGTTATCATCTCTTTTACATCTTTTATTTAAGTATGTTCCCTACTAGTTTTAGTTCAGTAGTTTGTACTCAATTCACTATGAGTTGAACACTTGTTTGATGAGTAAAGTGAAGTTAATATAATGTTATTTTTATGTTAAAATGATGTGTTGTTGAGTATCTTATTTTGTTATGTGTTTTTATGCTATAAACCTGCTTCTTAGAATGATCAACTTAGAAAAAGATAAAAGCTTTTTGTTGTGAGAGATCCAACAAAAAGTGGATTTCATAACAAAAGTGGTTAGACAAGTAGGATAAAGATATTCACTTAAATTAGCTTGCTTAGAGATAAGAAGTTAAGGTCATAAAGAATTTTCAGAATTAAAATCAGACGTATTTCAAGGTTATAAGTGAGGCTTTGAGATTTGTCCGCTTGCCCTAGTAATGCATGATTTGATGTATAGAGATACACAATGAGATCATGTTCTAACCTTTTGAGGCACGACACTTCACATCATTGACACATTTAGCTACTAGTATATTAATGGATCCTAGCTCATCAATCACTCTCTTGATATTTTCTTCCTCTTATTTAGTAGTTTTAGCTCTATAGTGTGGACTCCTTTTCCCTGTTATCATTTGTTATTTGTTATCTTGCTCATACTTCTTTTAAATAAATATTATTTATAAAAGTTCAATCTAAATCTTTTCCACTCCATGTGGGTACGATATCTTTACTTTATTACTTGCTGCAATCAAGCATACATGTATACTTGCATGTGACACCATAGTTTTAAGCTGAATTGCAAACCGACCAACATGTTTTTGGCGCCGTTTCCGGGGAGTGTCAAGAAATATTTTGAACTATTGTATTGTTTATTTTTGTTTAAAAATTGTATTTGAGCTTTTTAACATTTTTACTGTGATTTGGTGTCGCGACAGGCTTTTAGCTGTTGCATGTGCAGATCGTTATGCCCAGTTTATAGTGGGTACCCTGAACCTGAAAGAATTCGTAGAACACGAAGAAGAATCATATGTTCTAAATAACTATCTGGAAATCCCTTACAACCAGTTATGGTTAACCAAGTTGGTATAGTCCACGAGGAAGACTCATACGAGGAATCATTAGAAGAAGAGTTAGAGGCAGATGTTGTCATAGCTGAAACTGACATCATTGGCATGGTCAATAATAGGGGTACAACATCAGAGATTATGCTGCTTTTGATCCTACTGCTAGGAGAACTGGTATCATACGACCAAAAATCACAGCAGATCAGTTCGAATTCAAGCCCATGATGTTTCAAATGTTGCAAACCACTAGTCAATACTTAGACTCTCCTAATGAAGATCCTTATTTGCACTTGAGAAAATTTATGGATGTTGCTGAAAATTTCAAGATTCCAGGTGTGACTAATGATGCCTTTTGGTTAAGGCTTTTTTCCTCCTTCGAAGAATGCAAAGATGAGAAATGAAATTACTTTATTTAGGCAAGGAGATGATGAATCCTTGTTTGATGCTTGGGAAAGATTTAAGGAGTTACTTAGACAATGTCCTTACCATGGAATTCTCATCTGCATTCAACTTGAAACTTTCTACAATTGATTAATTTCATCCTCAAGGAACATGTTAGATGCCTAAGGTGGTGGAGCTCTTTTGTCTAAGTCCTACGAAGAAGGTTATAAATTGATTGAGAGTATCATGGCCAACACATACCAATGGCCTGTCATTAGAGCTACTGCAAATTCAACTCAAAAGATACCTATTAGATTTCATGAGGTCACTGAGACAACAACACTTGCTGAGCAAGTGGCTTAAATCCATCAGATGATAAAGAACACGATGAACCATGAAGTGACAAAGCCCGAACCAGTCAAGGTGGTTACTGACGCGTTTGGAGTTGCCTGTGTATACTGTGGAAGACCCCATTTATTTGAAGAATGTTCTGTAAATCCTATTTCACTCAACTATGTTGGCAACAACAACAATAGATACAACAACCCATACAACAACACATACAACCCAGGATGGCGCAACCATAACAACTTTTCTTGGAGTAGTAATCAAAATCAACCAAAATCTTAAGCAACACAAACACCTCAAGTTCCCCTTGGTTTTTCCAGACCCAACTATGTTATGGAAAATCAAGGGAATAACCAATTGTAAAATGTTCTGAAGTCTTTTATTCAAGAAGCCAAGAACCAATTCCAATCACAAGGAGTAACTATTAAGAATTTGGAGAATCAAGTAGGGAAAGTTGCCACTGCTTTGAGTTCTAGGAATATGGGAACTCTCCCAAGTTCTACTGAAACTCCAGCTGCACCTTCTGGAGTGAAGAATGTTGAAACATGTCAAGTCATTAAGCTTAGAAATGGAAAAGAAGTTGAAAGTTTCGCTTCAAGAAACAAAGAGGCAAGTGAAGAACTGCCTGAACAAGACAGTTTTGGAGCAAGAAAAAAATCCGATAAAGAACCGTCTTCATATAGACACCAGAAAAGAATGATGACATAACTGATGTTGACATGACTTCTCATCCAGAAAAACCACAGGAAGTCATGATTGAATTCAACAAAACTCAGAAGTTTGTTCAAGAAAGGCCTTTATTGCCTTTCCCACAAATGATTAGGAAGGCCAAAGAGGAGCAACAATTTGGAAAGTTTATGGAGATTCTGAAGCAGCTTCACATCAACATACCATTGATTGAAGCCATTCAAAAAATGCCAAATTACTCAAAGTTTATGAAAGATGTGCTCACTAAAAGAAAGAGAGTAGGATAATTTGCAACGGATGCACTCACTCAAGAGTGTAGTCAGTTGGTGCAAGGCAAGCTCCCACCTAAGTTGAAGGATCCTAGAAGTTTTACCATTCCATGCACC